ATCAATAATAGAAAACATTTAAGACTCAAAACAATCAACCAAGTATGGCATGATTAAGTATCAGTTTTTTTAAAAAAGACATATGTCCAACAAAACAAATGGTTATTAAAAGCCACTTCAACACTGCCAAACGCTGTTTTCTGTGTATCAGGTCCCTTACATGTGCACACACATACAGCACTGCACAGAAGCAAGGATATATGCACACCATGATGAAAGTGCTACTCTTTTTTTAAAAAAAATATTTTTTATTATTATTTTTTTTAGTTTTCGGAGGACACAACATCTTTGTTTGTATGTGGTGCTGAGGATCGAACCTGGGCCGCACGCATGCCAGGTTAGCGTGCTACTGCTTGAGCCATATCCCCAGCCCCAGAAAGTACTACTCTTAATAGCAGGAAAGTAGAAACAATCCAAATGTCCATCAACAGATTAATAGATAAGCAAAATGTACACATACAATGGAATATTATCCAGTCATAAAAAAAGGAACAAAGCACTGACACATGCCAAACAACCATGGATGCAACTTGAAGACATTATGCTAAGTAAAAGAAGCCAGACACTAAAGGCCACCTATTTTATGATTTCTATAAATAACAATCCACAATACATGAATCCATAGAGACAGAAAGCAGATTAATAGCTGCCAGGGACTGTGGGCATGAGAGACCAGGGAATGACTATTTAATAGGTATGGGTTTTCTTTTGGGGTGATAAAAATGTTTTGGAACTAGAGAGTGATGATAATGATTGTACAACACTGTGAATGCATCACATGCCACTGAAATGTATACTTTAGTAAATTTTTTAAAAAATATTTTTTAGCTTTAGGTGGACACAATATCTTTATTTTATTTTTATGTGGTGCTGAGGATTGAACCCAGTGCCTCACGCATGCCAGGAGAGCACACCACTACTTGAGCCATATCCCCAGCCCTACTTTAGTACATTTTATTACCACAACAAAAGTTATTTTTAATTAAAAAAAAAAAAACACTTGGGCTGGGGATGTGGCTCAAGCCGTAGCGCGATCGCCTGGCATGCGTGCGGCCCGGGTTCGATCCTCAGCACCACATACAAACAAAGATGTTGTGTCCGCTGAGAACTGAAAAATAAATATTAAAAAAATTCTCTCTCCCTCTTTAAAAAAAAATACTTAAAAAAAAAAAAAAAACACTTGCCAGGAGTGACAATACACAACTGTAATCCTAGCTGTTGGGGTGTCTGAAGCAAGAGGGGGATCAAAATTTCAAGGACAGTATGTACAGTGGGGTATAACTGTCTCAAAAAGGCTGGGGATATAGCCAAGCGGTAGAACATTTATCTAGCTTCCATCCCCAATACGGGGAGTGGGGGAACCTTTTACATGTAAAGCATAAAAATAAGTCTCATGTCAGAAAAATTGCAAAGAAGAAAAATGTTATTAAAGCAATATATAAGAATTAGTATCCTGGGCTGGTGTTGTGGCTCAGTGGTAGAGCACTTGCCTAGCAGTGTGAGGCACTGGGTTCAATCCTCAGCACCACATAAAAGAAATAAAATAAATAAAAGTATTGTGTCCATCCACAACTAAAAAAATATATTTTTTTAAATTAGTGTCTTAATTATTTAAAAATATTTCATACAAATATACAGGACTAATCTACAAAGTTCTCAGGTTAAGTGGTCAAATCTGATATACACATTATATACCAGGAAATAATCCCAAGAAAACTCCTCACATAAAAATACAAGCCAACTAGGGCTATAGCACATGTGAGGTCCGGCAAACCCCAGCAACAGAAACAAAGCAAAACAAAAACATGCCAGCTAGGCCTGAAGACATACATCTATAACCCTAGCTACTATTCAGGAAGCTGAGGTGGAAGAATCACTTAAATCTAAGAGTTCAAAGCCAGTCTGGGCAAAAAAGCATGACACTATCTCAAAACAAATAGAAAAGACAAACAAAAATCCCCAAATAAAATAAAAATGAAATAATCAAAAAAGCAGGCTACACCAGAAAGGATATGCCTACTAAAATATCATTAAGAAAATCATGGGGCCAGAGCTGTAGCTCAGTGATAGAGTGCTTGCCTAGCATGTATGAGGCACTGGGTTTGATCCTCAATACCACATAAAAACAATTAAATAAAATAAAGATATTGTGTCCGTGTACAACTAAAAGAAAAAATATATATACTTAAAAAAAAGAAAATCATTATATTCTGTTTTTTTCCCAACAATGTCTCACCATGTTGCCCAGGTTTTCCTTGAGCTACTAGGCTCTAGAGATCCACTGTCAGCCAACAGGTACCTAGGATCATAGATGTATGCCACTATACCAGGCTTCATTAAATTCTAAATACCTTATAAAAGAGATTAAAAATATCAACGTGGTCAGGCCAGGCCACAGGAAAACAGATAAGTATCTCCAGTGACACTATAAAATGTTCTAAAAAAATAATCTGACAGAAGCTGGTGTTGTGACTCATTTGCCTAGCACGCGTGAGGCACTGGGTTCAATTCTCAGCACTGCATATAAATAAATAAATAATATATATTAAAAAATAACAATCTGCAATATAAAACAGGAACTAAGAAGCTAATTAAATGCTTTGATCCAGTAAGTTCATTCTTAGTACTATACTTTTAAAGGTATACTCAAAATAGGTGAAACAGGAAATAATTAAAAGAAAAAAAGATAGTCACAATCAACTAAAATGAGAAAATACAAAGAAATCTAAATAATCAGTAAGAAAGTAAAGTAGAGCCTACTGTACATTGTAACTCCAGCTACTTAGAAGGCTGAGGCAGAAGGATTCCAAGTTGAAAGCCAGCCTCAGAAACTTAGCAAGACCCTGTCTCAAAACTAAAAAACAAAAAGGGCTGGGGATTTAGCTCATTGGTAGAATGCCCCTGGGTTTAATCCCCAGTATTACAAAAAGAGAGAATCAAAGTAGAACTAAATTAACTATTCTTATTGCTTAAGTACAACTTAATAAATGTAAATGTATTTGTGTATATGTGTGTGTATGTGTGTATGTCGCATGCCTGTGATCACATCTACTAGGTTGAGGCAAGAGGAACACAAGTTCAAGGCCAGACTCTCAAAATAAAGTAAAAAGGGCCGGGATGTAGTTCTGTAGTACAGCACTTGCCTAGCATGCTGGAGGCCCTGAGTTCAATCCCCAGTGCACACACAATGACAAGTATATAACTATTTGATAAAAGGCATTCAAGAAATAATTTCATTTTTTTAATTTTATTTTTAATTTTTTTTAGTTGTTGATGAGCCTTTAATTAATCAGTTAATTTATTTATTTATATGCATGCTGAGAGTTGAACCCAGTGCTCATGCATGCTAGGCAGGGACTTTACCACTGAGCCACAACTCCAGCCCACAAGAAATAATTTTAATTAAAGTAATTAAAAAATAGTATGTACAGGGCTGGGGTTGTGGCTCGGTGGTAGAACAACTGCCTTGCATGTGTGAGGCACTGGGATTCTCAGCACCACATATAAATAAATGAATAAAATAAAGGTCCCTCGGGCTGGGGATGTGGCTCAAGCGGTAGTGCGCTCGCCTGGCATGCGTGCGGCCCGGGTTCGATCCTCAGCACCACATACAAACAAAGACGTTGTGTCCGCCAAATACTAAAAAATAAATATTAAAATTCTCTCTCTCTCTACCTCTCTCTCTCTCTCTTTAAAATAAAATAAAATAAAGGTCCCTCAACAACTAAAAAATAAATTTAAAAAAATGGTATATGCATTGATTTATGCTTCATGGAAAATAATTTGTAGTTAAGAGTTTAAAAGTCAATAGGCTTTGCCAGGTATGGTGGTGCATACCTGCAATCCCAGCAATTTGGAAGGTTGAGGCAGGAGAATCACAAGCTGGAGGATCAGCATGGGCAACTTAGTGAGACCCTCTCTCAAAATACAAAAATAATAAATAGGCTGGGGAATATGGCTCAGTGGTGGAGTGCCTCTGAGTTCAATCCCCGGTATTAAAAAAAAAAAAAACAAGGAAGTCAATGTATGCAAACTATATATTTATATATGTGTAAAAACATGAATACTTGTTAAAAGACCAACAAATAAATTTTGAATAAATTCAAAAATAGTAACACTGTCCAGTTTCCAACCTATAAGCAACCTATATACAAATAACTGACTACATACTACTCTGAAAAGTTATCATAGAAACCATCAAAAAGACAAACTAGAGCTTTTAGATATTCTGACTATTCAGAATTGAAGGTAGAAAGAAGACAGGAAAAGTAAAAATGAAAAGCACAGTTTAAGGGAGCTGACCTAAAGCTATACCCTCTAGCTCCAAATTTACTCAGCTACCAGAGGTTTTTCTTATATTTCCTGAGAACCCACCAACCAGAAAGTTATACAGATTAACAGAAATTGTCGCTTTATCAAAATCAATACCTCTGAAATAATTAAGCAGCCATAGTTCACTACAAGAGTGCTAGGAATTTTTTCAATCTGTTTCATGTCTCTCCTAACACCTAAATGAAGCAAACTGTAATTGAAAGGAGAGGAGGAAGTAGTATTGACTACCCACTATGGCAATTCTCTCCAAAGTGTATGTTTCCCCCAGAATGCTCCATTTCTCAAAATTATTTTACTTTCCTTCCCTCTTAAAGTTTCCATTCATTAACCTAACAAAGTATATCTTTTCTCATTTCTCTAAATAAGCTTAAATTCTTAAGAATAGTATTTAAAAAAAATAACTCACCTGAAATTTATAATTTAACAATAAATAATATGATCAGCTTTTAAATATTTTTTTGTTTCTACCCATTTAAAACCTGCTTTTCAACAAATAAAAAATAAATAATCCTGCTTTTCTTTTAAATTTTAACACTATTATACTTTATATACATATAACTTCTCTACAGAATCATTAAAGAATGTAATAATGAAGACCTTGATTCAGTCCTATAAACATTATATTCAAAGAAATCTTTTTAACATAGTATTCATCAATTGATTCTTACTTTGCTTCAATTTGTGGAAATCACTGACTCTATCCTTAGTGGCCTGCTTTAATATATCTGTTTGAATTCTGTGTTCACTCTCCAAATTTGAGCCTGGAATTAAACGCTGAAGAGGGTCGGAGGGGTTCTGTTTTGAAGTGCCAGGATTTCCATTGTGGTTTACATATGAACCTATGGTATAAAAACATCAAATTAAAAGAACGTTAATTCTTCTACAGAAGAATTTCATGAGACCCACTCTTAGAAAAGTTAAGAAACATTATTATCTGACATTGGGTAGTCATTTAGTCTTTTTGTTGTTGTTGTTTGTTTTTTAAGCTTTACTTTAATTACCAGTGTGGTTTCAGCTATGCAAAGTTTGCCAATCATTCACAAATGAGTATGTCCATTACCAATTATAAACCTATTCACCAAAGAGATATATACACAGTAAAAATCCAAACATTAATATAGCAATGATATCCATTTCTTTTCCTCTCTCCAAACTCCATATTGCTGTCAAAATTCTCTAAAATCCAATAAGGCTTTTGAAATTTCTAGTTTCTTCATTGCCTTCATCTATACAATGACTCACAATTAACTCTAGATTCTTTCTTAGCAGTATCTTCTTGATATAACCTCTCTTTCTCCCACCTCTCATTTTTCCCCTCATCAAAATCTTGATTAAATCCTTATTACTATTAATTTTGGAATCATAAACCTCTTGTGCCACTGATTTCTATATCTTTCCTTTCCATGATCTTCCCCAAAGCACCTCCTTTCAATAATTCTCATTTTAGAACCCTCTATAAAATCAAATAGGTATTCAATAGAAAACAAACATGGGATGGGGATATAGCTCAGTTGGTAGAGTGCTTGCCTCACATGCACAAGGCCCTGTTTTTTTCAATCCTCAGCACCACAAAACACACACACACACACACACACACACACACATATTCATAAGCACCAAGTAAGGCCTTCTACACAGTAATAATTTGTAGAGGGCCTCAATAAGATAACTATGAATACAGTTTTTACCACAGAGCAACACCACCAGTTCTATGAACACATTCTGGAGGAAGGTTAATTTATATAGCTTGAAGGTCAGGCATGGTGACACATGCCTGTAGTCCCAACTATTCAGGAGGCTGAGGAAAAGGAATTGAGAGTTTAAGGCCAGTCTGAGCAACATAGGCAACACAGCAAGACCCTGTCTTTAAAAAAAATCTGTGAAGCCTGGAAGAGATGAAAGGGAATATAGTTCAGAGTGGAACAACAAATAATTCTGCTCTTAAGAAAAGACTCTAACAATCCAATAAACAAAGTGCAGTTTTAGATAATTATATTTCTCCCTGAGCTTTTACTAGTCATTAAAAAGCATAACATTACTTTGAAAAATGAACGCTACTTCACTATACTGCTAAATGACATGTTTTATTCACTATATAACAATACATGACAAATAAGATGGTTTTTAAATGAAATGCCAAAAGAATAAGACTTCATACCTGGAGCCATATTTGGGGAAAGAGGTTGTCCAGTTGGAATATGGGAGATTGCTTGATGACTTTCATGCTGAGAAACCAAAACAGGGGGCTTTTTTAAAACTGAAAAAAAAAACAAAAAAACACCATATTATTCCCAATTGACATGTTTTCTAAAAACCCAACTACTATAGCTGAGCATGATAGTATATCCCTGTCATCCCAGTGACTCAGGAGACTGAGGCAGGAGGATCACAAGTTTGAGGCCAACCTCAATAATTTAGGAGGTCCCTCAACAACCCAGCCAGATCCTGTATCAAAATAAAAAATAAAAAAGGCTGGGGAGGGGGCTGGGATTGTGGCTCGGTGGTAGAGCACTTGCCTAGGATGTGCAAGACCCTGGGTTCAATCCTCAGCACCACATAAAAATAAATAAATAAAGATATTGTGTCCAACTACAACTAAGAAATTAAATAAATAAATAAATAAATAAATAAATAAATAAATAAAAGGGCTGGGGAGCCTATAATCCCAGTGACTCAGAGAGACCCTATCTCAAAACAAAAAATAAAAAAGGGCTCGGCTCAGAGGTAGAGCACCCCCAGGGTTCAATACCCAGTACCAAAAAAGAAAACAAAAACAAACAAACAAACAAAAAACCCACCATGAATCTATACTACACTAATCTTATGATGCTTATTCTAAATTTTTTAATCCTGAGAGCTGGTAAACTAAATCATTTATGGTTACTAAATGATACATTATACCACCCATTATAGAATTTCCATGATTAACAATCTGATCAGAAAATAAGCTTCATAACAGTATGAACTCTGTCTTGTTGATTACTATATCCCAACTATTTACAATAGTGTCTGGAACATAATAGAAACTCCATGAAGATTTGAATGAATAGATATATAACTCTCTTCAGATATAGAGAATTTCAGCAGTGAGACCTTTTAATATAGGTGGTACAAATAAAATTTAGCATTTACAGATTAGACAAAACATTAACAATATGCTATCCTTACTTAACAGTGGTCCCTTCACCTTCTGAATACAGCCCTTATTGCTCTAAGGCTTATTTTTTTTTTAGAAAAATTTTTTTCTCTCTTCTCCTCCCCCTCCCTCCTGCTTCCTAACAAGATTAGGGAGACAGTGTTATGTTTTCTTCTCCTAGTTAATTGACTTTGAACACACCCACTGAAGGAAGGAGATGCCTGCTGGGGATTTGGGAAATGAATATCTCCCAAATTAACAAGTGAATCCCAAAACACCATCAGGGCACCCAGGGACCTGCTACCAGAGCACACCTGGAATGTAACCCTTCAAGAGTTCCTTTAACACCACCCCCCTGCCCCTCCTGATCAAGTGAGTCACAGCCTTTGGGACAGGAGTCCCCTATGTTTCTCCTTTGCTAGCAAAGCAATAAACTTTCTTCTTCCCTTTTCTCAAAACTGTGTCCTTATTATTGGCATTGTTTGGCATTGGGGGCAGGGATTGAGCTTTCAGTTATACTTAGTTGCTCAGATTTTAAATCAAACTTGCCAGCTATGGTAGTACAGGCATCTCAGCTACTTGGAGAGTAAAGCAGGAGGATCACAAGTTCAAAGCCAGCCTCAGAAACTTTGGGAAGTCCTGTCTCAAAATGATTTGAGTTTGTAAATGTTCCTACAGAAAATTTAGAAATGTAGAAAAACACAAATAATATTTTTTGGCATTGCTGAGAATTTAACCAAGGATCTTGCACATGCTGGGCAAGTGCCCCACTACAGAGACATATCCCTAGCTTTACAAAGAAATTTAAATTTAACTGTAATTCCTCCATTTAAAGATAATTACTACTATAATTTGGAGTGTGTGTCTCTGGTGTGTTTTTTCTTTTTTTCTATGCATTGTATTATCCTATAACTTAAAGAAAATTAGGATCTTCTCTATATCATTTGGTTGTTTTCTTTTTGAGACAGGGTCTTGACATGTTGCCCAGGCTGGTCTTGCACTTATGATCCTCCTGTTTTACTCTCCTGAGCAGCTGGAATTACAGGCATGTGCCATGACACCCAGCTGTATATGTTACTGTTTTATAATCTGATTTTAATTTCACATTTTATACGTATTTTCCATGTCATTCCATTTCTTCTATAATATTCCCAAATGTATTCCTGAATCAAAAAAAATCTGACTTTTATGGGACTTGTTAGAGATGCCTGTATAAAGGACTACCACAAGGACTTTATGGCCTCATTAAATGCATCAGTTAAGCCAGCTGGCAGACTTTTACTTCTAGGAAAATGTAAACATAATTTATGTCCTATAAATACTTTGGTTCCTATGTTTGTACTTTGCTTTTTATTTACAGTTTTCTTTAAAAGTTCCTTTAAAAAACTCCAGACTTGTTTTTGTTGAACTAAAGAGGTAACTTATTTATAGGTATAATTTATTTATACCTAGGATAGGATAATTAGATTTTCCAGTGGTCAAAGTTAATAGTAATAGTTAACGGTACAAAAATAAATAGATCTAGAAAAATGCTAGTGGATTTGAGAAAACTAAGGGTGCCAATGTTATCCTCCAATTTTGTATAAGGTTCTTCTGACTTTTTTTTATGTATATGCAAATATATAATTTTTTCCTGCATAAAAATTAGATTATAGGGGCTGGGGCTCAGTGGTAGTGCACTTGCCTGGCATGTATGAGGCACTGGGTTCAATTCTCAGGACCCCATATAAACAAATAAAATAAAAGTCTATCAACAACTAAAAAAAAAATTTTAAATGAGATTATATTATACTCACTCTCTTGAAAGTTGCTTTTTTCATTTTAAAAACAAGAGCTAGGGCTGGGGTTGTGACTCAGTGGTGGAGCACTTGCCTAGCACATGTGAGACACTGGGTTCAATCCTCAGCACCACATAAAAATAAATAAATAAATAAAGGTATTGTGTCCATCTACAACTAAAAAATATTTTTTAACAGAATCAGAGATATCTTTGTATGCCAATAAATATGGCTCAACATCATTTTTTTTTTTCCTTAGTAGTGGTACTGGGGGTTGAACCCAGGAGACCTCCACCATTGAGTCACAACCCTAGCCCTTTTTATTTTATTTTGAGACAGGGTTTGGCTAAATTGCTGAGGCTGCTCTCTCACTTGTGATCTTCCTGCCTCAGCCTTGGGTCAATGAGATCACAGGTGTGTACCACCTTACTCAGCTTCAACATCACCATTTTGGGGGAAGTACTGGGAATTGAACTCAGGGGCACTCAACCACTGAACCATGTCCTCAGCGCTATTTTGTATTCGATTTAGAGACAGGGTCTCACTGAGTTGCTAAGCGCCTCGCCATTGCTGAGGCTAGCTTTGAACTCAAGATCCTCCTGCCTCAGCCTCCCGAGCTGCTGGGATTATAGGCATGTGCCACCTTGCCCAGCGATTTCATCATTTCTTATATGAATCATGATTTTGGTGTGGTATCTAAAAAGTTATCACAATATCTAAAGTTATCTTGGGTTTCTCTCCTAGTTCTATACTTTTTACATTTAGGCCTCTAATTCAATTTTTTTTTTCAATAACAGAGGCTGAACCCAGGGGTGCCATATTATTGAGTCACATTATTTTTTATTTTGAGATAGGGGCTCACTAAGATGCCCAGGCCTCCAATAATCCTACTGCCTTAAGCTCCCAAATTGCTGGGATTACAGATATATGCCACCATATCCAGCTCACATTAATTTTTATGAAGATCTGTATCTAGATTTTTTTTTTTTTTTTTTTGGTACTGGGAATTGCACCCAGGGGTGTTTTATCACTGAGCCAACTCTCTTTTGAGATAGGGTCTCTATATTGCTGAGGCTGTCCTCAAACTTGCAATCCTCCTGCCGCAGCCTCTTGAATTGCTGGGATTATGGGCATGCACCACCGTGCGTTGCTATTTCAGTACCATTTTTTGAAGACTATCTTTGTTTTGTTGTATTGTCTTTGCTATTTTGTCAAAAATCAATTTACTATATTTATGTGGATCTGTCTCTGAGCTCCCTGTTCTATTCTTTTGATCTAAATGTCTACTCTTTTGCCAACACCATAGTGTCTAAATTACTGTGACTTTATAACAGGTTTTGAAGTTAAGTAGTGCCAGTTCTTCAACTTTGTTTTTCTCCTTCCATATTATGTTGACTATTCTGAGTCTAATGATTCTCCATATAAATTTTACAATCGGTCTGTCAATACCCATATAATAACTTGCTGGGATTTTGATTGGGATTGCATTAAATTACAAATCAAGATGAAGAACTGACATCTTGACAATATTATCCATGAACCTGGAATATTTGCCCATGTATTTCATTATCCTTTGATTGTTTTCATCTAAATTTTGTAGTTTTACTCACAGGGATTTTGTACATATTTTGTTAAATGTATACATAAGTATTTCATTTTGGCGGGTGCTAATATAAATGTTTCATGTTTTAAATTTCAAATTCCACTTTCTCATTGCTAGTATATAGGAAAGTGATTGTTTGTACTTCTATCCTGCAATATTTTCATAGTTGTTTATTAGTTACAGGAGTTCTTATTTTTTGTTTTGTTTTGGTCCTGGGGATTTAACCCAGAGGCGCTCAACCACTTAGCCACATTCCCAAACATCTTTTCTTTTTTTGTTGTTTTTTTTTTGAGACACCATCTTGCTAAATTTGCTCAGGATCTTGGTAAGTTGCTGAGGCTGGCTCTGAACTTTTGATCTTCCTGCCTCAGCCTCCTGAGCTGCTGGGACTACAGTGTGTACCACCATACCAGGCCAGGAATTGTTTTTTGGTTCTTTTGGATTTTCTAAGGAAAAGATCATGACATCTACTAACAAAGATAATTTTATTTATTCTTTAACAATCTGTATACCCTTTACTTCTCTTCTTGTCTTTTTTTTTAATTTTTTATTGTGGGTTGTTCAAAACATTACAAATTTCTTGACATATCATATTCCACACTTTGATTCAAGTCGGTTATGAACTCCCACCTTCCCCCCATACACAGATTGCAGGATCACATCAGTTACACATCCATTGATTTACAAATTGCCATACTAGTGTCTGTTGTGCTCCGCTGCCTTTCCCATCCTCCACCCTC